CCCTGACTCCAGCACTCAGTCACTCTGCAAATGCACAAATTAACCTTTCTCAGGCTGACTCAATATAGCTTTACATCACGCTTTGGATGATGCCATTTTCATCTTTACACATGGTTTCTGCGTATGTTGTAAGTATTACAAGAGAGGGTCAAATAAGCACATGACATTTAACCCCAGGAAACCATCAAGCTAGATTTGTCTTAAACTAATGTAGCCTACGCAGTAAAGTAAGTAACGATTCACATTGTGTTTTTTTCCTGAACCTAACCACATATTGTATGCGCCTAAACCAAAATGAACTGAATGTGAAACCTAAGTAACTGCAATCTGTTCATGACTTTGGATAGGAACCTTGCCTACTGGTAGGTGCAGTCGGCTCCTTCTGAATCATCATGGTCAGATGTCAACCTTTGGATCTGAAAAGTGAAGCCAATGCAGAGTTGGCTTAAATTTGCAGTCTTTTTGATTGTGTAGAAGACAGTGTTGTCAGTTGATTATACATTTTTTTGTCTCAAAACATGTTTTGTTTATCAATCGGTTGCCTTTAGCTGCAGCACCTCACTTCTGGTTTAAAGAAACCAAGATGGCTACAACCAAAAAACAATATGCCAACCTCCCAAAATCCTCATGGCAACAGCCAAAATGACAAACTCTGGTCTTCAAACTCATAGTCCACAAACCATTGGTGACATCAAGATAACTAGGTCAACTTCTAACACAGTCTATGATTAGTCTATGATGACTACCATTCAATGGCCTGATAACATTCAAAACATGTGGTGAATGTGGTTTATGCAGATGTTACTGCAAGCATCTCCCATGCAGTTGAAATAGTAAGAATATGACAAAGGTGAGGTTATGCATCCTTTGAATGTTTTTTAGCAATAAACCGTGGTGACCATGTTCCCATTGCTTACATCCATCATTGTGAATGTAAGCAATGTATGTGCATGTGCCATGTGAGCGTCTGTCACTTGGTGGCTTACAGTATAAGCAAGGTACCATAGAAGCAGAAGCTTGTCTTTAATCATCCCTTTGGTTAAAGAAGCATCTTGGTATTCTACCACTAAGCCTCTGTGGCCACCCTCAGACAGAAATGGGACGACACACACACACACACACACACACACACACACACACACACACACACACACACACACACACACACACACACACACACACACACACACACACACACACACACACACACACACACACACACACACACACACACACACACACACACACACCAGTCCCAGAGCAACACATCATCCTATGGAATCTATCTAACCAAAACCACTAAGCCACTGAGAGGCAGCTACTTAACTGAAGAATCATCTTCCCCTACTCTGTAATAATGGCCAAGCCAGATCGAAACCATTCTGTTTGAAAGCATCGCCAAGACGCTTTACTAAGGGATTGATTAGCCAGGAGTTGCGGAGGGTGCAGTGTTTACAGCTTGGTAGGCACGCATGCATGTAAAGGATCGCACACAGGAATTGTATGCAGAGAGACATCAAAAACTCATATAAATGACTTATGCTTGGTTGACAGGCTACTGTTGCTGCTGTAAGCATGTCGTGGCAAGTTAGTGTCTGACCCACCTCAGTGCTTTCATGAAGAAGATAATAAAGGTGTTTTGATTGTTATTCAAGAATGACTGGGTAATGTGATGGTAACATGTGTGACTTCTGTACAGAAATAACAAAGTTGCTTTCAATTTGGGGTCATTTCCGGATCTTCACTGCAAGACACAAGTACACTTTGGCACACTGCAGCACCTTTGATCCTGTGTTGAAGTGGGTAGCAGGTCATCTTGCAAACATCACAACCACAAACTAAACCAAGCAGTCTGTCGGGAGATTGGTGCACACACTCTAAGGCGGGCTGAAGATCCTCTGACACTGAGCACACCTTTTTGATTAACTGCCAGACCGGCGCTGAGAGACAAAGGTGTCGAATGCTGGCAAAGATGACTGAAAAAACTGGTTTTCGTTTCTGCCGCTGAAGCACAAGTTGTGTTTGCCTTTAAGGTTCTACAAGTTTCAAGCTTCAGCCTTTATCTGTATCCAAAGTCTTTACTGTAACTCCCTCTTTTCAGAGTTGATGAAGCATGAGTGAGTGCATGCATGCTTGCACATTTCTTGCTCATGTTAAATCATCATCTACGGTGACTGTCCCAGTATGACACTTACCTTTTGTTATCACTTGACCTTGTGAACCTGACACATGAATTAGGTAAGATTAAAGAGGAACAAAGTGTCAGAATTATGGGAAATCATTTGTCAGAAAATTGCTTGTAATTGCTTGTAGCCTTTATTTAACCAGGTGAAGCCCCTTGAGATCAAAAGATCTCTTTTTGAAGGGTGACCTGCAGAATTACTTCGCTCCACCTAAAGGAAAGAATTTAGAGCAGTTTGCACGCATGCAAAACTTTGAGCAGAAAAAGTGCCACTTATTTGCTCAGAGTAAAAAGGTCTTGCATCTAGATTTAAAGTAAGTTTTTGTGCGTCGGACTCTTGTAGAACAGTCGGTTGCCTCCTCTGGGGTGAAACCACAGCTATGTCAGCTATAGCTAAAGACAACACATGGACCAAAACAGGATATTAAAAGAAAAAAAAATTCACAGCTCCCTAACAAGCCTGGTCCGGCCCCTGGTTGGTGTTTACGGCATTCACTTTCTGTCAAGGAAACACACTTAAGTACACAGTATAATTGTTTCGTAGAAAGTGGACGTGGCTGCTTATTTCTTTGGAACTCATTTGGCATTCTTGAAAAGACTGCACTTTGTATAGTTATCATTTGATATAATCTACATGTTTGGGAAAAGATGATTGTATGTTGACATGTGGTATTCTTACTAACACCACTGTGCAATATTCCAGATGTAATACAAGTGTCAACAAGTGCAATAAAATCTACGCATGTGGTTAATACTGTGGAGATGGTACTTTACTGTATGTAAAGAAAGGCAAAGGTTTTAGAATGAAAACCTTTGATGAATAAAGTACATTTTACAACCTATTCTGGTAACACTTTCTATGATGTCCCAGTCTGTAATGCATCACTAACATACTACATTTCGTTATAATCTGTTTATATCGCTGTATAACTATAGTAACATGCACTCCAAATATTTTGTATTATGTGTAACAACTATCAAGTATCATACTATCAAATAATTGCTGAACATTCTCTTCATGTTCTGTTGCAAGGATAGTGTATTGTAATTTTCCAAGTTGTAATGCATTACAATCAATGTTATATTGCATAATAATGTGCATATGTGTTGTTCTTAAAAGGCCCCTGTGTGCTTTAAGTGATGTGAAAACACAAAAAGCTTCAAAATGTTGTTAAATAGATTACTTAAAGCAAATAATGACTAGAGTAACATTATAATCACATTAAAATGCAATATAACAGTGATAATAATGCATTTAATAAAAATCATAATGTATAACACATTTTTTACACTGGGATTCTTGCAAAACAAAAATGTGAGTGAGTGACTGGCAATAATGAGTACCTCAAATATGATTACCAGGCTTATAGTGATTATGGTTAGTTAGAGGTATGTTTATAATGTATTATACACATTGAGTTGTTAAAGGTTTTATCAAAACTACTTTATGAAAAACTCAAAACACTTTAAAACAGAGGCCTAGTACCTTCTTCTCCTTGTTCCCAAAGCAAATATTTGCATTACATATAAACAATTCCACACATTACTCAAGGACTACTTAAACAGGGAGAAGCATTCGTGTGAGTATAATCACCTAGTCAATTAAACACAAAAGCATCTGCTTCCACATTTTGATTACGTGACACTATACCCTTCACCACCTTTGCTTTTGGCTACAAGGTGCTGCCAGTTGTAGCTTGAATTCGGTGAAGATGAACAAACAGCTTTTACCACGTAGTTTTATTCTCTGGGTTAATTTAACATAATCACCTGCAGCATATTTATCTTGACGTGTATCTGGTAATAACGGGAATGCGAACTGATGAGTATCAACATGGTTTGCAAGTTGTTTTAATAGTCCTGACGTCATAAAAAGATTAACCAGCATTTGTTTTCCTTTATCATAATATGGCAAAAATAAATGATATCTTTCAGTTTGGTAAGTTTTTTAATTTGGTAGCTTAGGCAAGCTTAGGTTTCTCATTCTTTCTTCCAACTTCATAAAACACACACACAACAGTCTAAGAAATACTACAGAGGCAACCACACTCCTATAATGTCACACAGCAATCTTGGTATATGATTACATACACATTTAAACAACCTGCCCACTGAAAGCAGCAATATATGATAACAATGCACAACAAGACACACATGCACGTACACACGCAAGTCTATTGAAAACAAGGAACCACGCAATAATTTTCTGTGGCACCTAGGAATTCACTGGAACAAACATAATACATTCTCCTGATGCCACCCTGAAACCATGCGGCATTCCTGGTAGACAACACAGGCTGCTGTGCAGCTTGGGGGTGGGCCTCACTTAGTAGTAAAAACAGACTTTCATTTTAATTAAAGGTTTTATGCAACATAGCTAAAAAGCATCACAGCATACAGTATACATGGTGTTCTAATAGATCTATGAATGTGGTTGCAGCTATTTGCATCATGAGTAACTGTCATTGGCCTAATGTGGGAGTGCCTACAGGCCATATTACATTTGGTCAATAAACCCACCGATGAGTCACTGAAATTGATTGAGCTTTTGTTTTCTCGAATAACATAACACCTGCTGTGTAGAGAAGAACGAACATCAGAGGAAAATAGAGAAGCTATGAATCCTTTGTTTTACTTTCACCCATCAAACAATCCCTTTAAAGTTATTGACACAGCTCAAATCTCGACATCTGAACTGGCTCTGACTCACACCATCAGTCATTTGTGAAAAAGAGAGTGAGAAGTATGAAAGGGAAGGTTGTTTTACTCAGTTGAATCATCTTCAAACGTATAGACGATCTTTGTCAGTGGAGGTTACCGCCGTCACCTAGCAACCAGCTACAAACCACAAAGAGCACAACGCCAACATGAGAGCTAACGCTAGCCAACGAGCTAACCAGCTATGTGTATAAAAACACCAACCTTACTCGATAATTTCATTTTTTTAGCGGAACAAAATGGTGAAACAGACGATACAGATATATGGCCGCATTAAACCTACCAAGAAAAATACAACGGTAAGTTGGCAAGTACAACAGCATTTAAACACAATTTAACAACAAAGTTGATAACATAATGCTCGACAGGATGTCAATTTAAGCTAGCTAATGTTGGCGTTATCTTAACAAGGCCTATCTAAATACGTAGCACGCTGGTATTTTTTCATATAACGTTAAATATTCAAAGTTAGGCATTTCATCAAAAAACAGCAGTTTGAACTGCTAAACACACACCTGTCGATAAGTAATGTCAGTCTACCAAAATTGTGTTTACAATGTCTACATAACTTTTTCACAACAGACATGTCACAGCAGGAAAAGCACTAGCTAATGGCATTACTAATGATGGCAATTCCTTCCATTAAGTGTCCCTATAAATCATTCAGGTGAACGACAGTTAACATAACATTACTTGGTCCCTGGGACTAGCACACCTGACTGGAATGTAGCCTAATTAATCTTTTCAATACACCTGTGCATTTATTGCAATGACATGCCAACATACAGTATTCTAAAAGGGTCTTCGTTGTCACTCACTCCGTACAGTACAAAAAGACAACAAATAATGATAACCCAGTAAAGTGAGCACACTTTATTTATCTCCTGCTAAATAGGTATTTTTGGACATATTTATTGAAAAAGTGTTTGAATTGAAGATGCTACTAGCTTGTATGTTGTGCTAATGTTAATGTAACATATTTTGTGCACAAAACTCACAAGTGTTCTTTGTTTCAAAGTAACAATATTTAAATCTAGATGAATAGAGATCCCATTTTAAGGCCACATTGAACACTACATTTGTATTTAGTATTAGTTCAAATAAAAGAGATTTACAGTGACAACCTTTTCAGGGTTAAACTCCATTACAGCGATTAGTATGAAACGTATGCAACCATTTTAAGACTTTTTAAATGTTTTGCTGGAGGGGTTATTTTGCATTAAAGTGCACACATGTTTAATAATGTTCAAACAAGAAACGTCCCATGTAACTGATGGCATTACTAATGATGGCTTCCTTCCATTAAGTGTCCCTATAAATCATTCAGCTGAACAAGAATGAACATTTCAGTGGCAAGGCCCTGGAACTAGCACACCTGAATGGAACATGGCCTAATCAATGCTTTCATTACACCTGTGCATTTCTTATCACTTGCCAACATCTTTGAAAAGGGTCTTCGTTGTCACTTACACCGTACAGTAAACCAACAAAAAAATGACACGGTTAAGTGAGCATACTTTATCTCCTGCTAAATGTTATTTTTTGTCCTACAGTATACCAATTTAGAAATGTTTACATTTAAGATGTTTCTAGCTAGTATTTTGTGCTAATGTTCAGTATGTTTATGTAGCTTCTTTTGTGCACAGAACTCACACTTTTCTTTGTTTCCAAGTTCATTTTTTATATCTAAATGAATAGAAATGCCATTTTAAGGCCACAATGGAAATTAAATGTGTACTTATCAGTGGTGGAAGAAGTAAATCTAGTAATGAAGTAAAAGTAGCAATACTTTAGCAATACTTTCACAAGTGAAAATACTCGAGAAGTACGATTACCTCAAAATGGTACTTTAGTACAGTACTTGAGTAAACATACTTGGTTACATTCCACCAATGGTATTAAGTATCAGTTCAAAATAGATTTATAGTGACAACCAATGCAGGGTTAAACTGCATTAAAGTGAATAAGGTGAAACACAAGTATCCGTAAGACCTTTTTTCTTCATTCTGGTGAGGTGTTTTGCATTAAAGTGCTCACATGTTTCATTTCATTTCAAACCTTTATTTATGCAGGTGAATCCCATTGAGGTCATTGATCTCTTTTTCAAGGGTGACCTGCTGCAAGTAGGTTCCACATGAATACATATACACATAACAGAAAAACAAAAAGGACATCATACAGCATATTTACAGCGACTACAGTTTACATAGCTAGTAACATTTACAGGTTCCAACAGTTTCCGATTGGATAGCATCTATCCTTGCTAAGTTTAATGCTTTATCAGATAAAGTCCCTTTTTTATTAAATAGATATGTAAAAACAAAAGTCTATGCCCATGTGCCTCCCCCACTGGCAGGCAGCACACTTGATATTCTTCCTTAAATCCAGGTTTTTGTGTGAGCATGACAGCTGATTGAGTACAAATATCACATTACTTTGAGGGTTTCTGTGGCACTTTAGCCTGAGCTGACAATATCCTACAAAATGAAATGAGCACAGCTTCCTCCTTGGGGCTTTTTGAGGTTCTGTCAACAGAGCAGTGGTGGTCAGGAGGCGATACTGCTGGCAGACTGGCAACAAAAAACAATCCAATCATTTAGGTCTTATATTTTATTCCTGAATCCCTGGGGACTTAAAATTGCATCTGAAACATATGCCAGAACATATGTCGAGTTTAGTTTGACCCAGCCAGCCTCACTTTAAATGTCCTCCTCTGCTAAAGCTCAATCTATATTGGTTAAAGGTTCTGAAGCTGTTCTTGTCTCCCCTGAGGCTTCGGTGAGCGGAGGTAAAATTGCAGAGCTTGTTTAGCCTGATCGTGATTGCTCGTTGCGTTCTATTGCTTTCCACAGGATAAATGCTTCATAAACTCCATCTTTTCATTTTGTCGCTTGCGTTATCCAAACCACGAGTGGCCAAACTTATATTTCAAACATAACATGATGTATTGTCTTTGTGTTTAAGTTGGCCTGCATGTATAGTACCATAAGTATGACGGCAAACAATTCACAGAGAATATACTGTAGGAGACAACCCTTTCAAAAGAATATATGAATGCCTTTATGTCTATTCTAGAATTCGAACCAAAAAAAGCCCTCTCCCATGCTGTGATAGTAATATAAGCCTGTTTCCACTGTACTGTCTCTAATGTTGCGTCTGGCTCCCTCAGGTGTACTCTGTGGACAATGAGGGGCAGACAGGTGCTTTTCTGGAGTTCCTGGTTCCCCGGGACCTCGCTGATGGCTTTGTCAACAACAAGAGGGAGTGCTACAAGTTCAGGTAGAGTGTCAGGTTCCTTTATTAATACCCGTAAAACCTTCCATTTGCTTTGTTTCCCAATAAATGAATCTAAATCAAATTTTAAACTGGAGGGGTTTTAGATGGAAGACCGCATCGATTAGTTCACTAATCCTGTTATCATCGATGAAGAGAAATGGACATCTGTATGATAAACAGTTAGTTAATAAAAGTATAATCTAATGTTTTAACCTTTTAAATATAGCGATGTCCTTCTTTTCTCTGTTTTATATCATAGTAAGTGAATATTGTGGGGTTTTGGACTGACATCGACACACTTTTTTTTGACCAAGCGATTCATTTTTTTATATTGACAAGAAATTGTCATCAGACCATTCATTAATGAACATAATCAATAGTTGCATCCCAACTAATGATTACATTATAGTATTATAGTAATGATTTCCTTCAAATCAGGGGGCTCATTCACAAATATGTTACACTTTAAATGAGTATGAAAAGTACTATAGAAAGTCTATAGAGGTTGGAGCACCAGACTGTTAGTGTGTAGGTGTTTACTTTTTTTTAAAGGCCAAAAGCTTTGTGATATAATAAAAATCATTCAAAAAAATGATATATATGATAAACATATTATTGTAATTTAAATTCAGTTTAACATTACTGTAGATTTGAAGGAAACATGATAACTAATTATTTGCACGAACATGTCAGAACTAAATTGTGCTTACATGAGTTGATTCTGTTCATACACAGACAAACAACATTTCAATTAGAGAACATTGAGGGCCTGAGGAGAACAGGTGAATGATCCCCAAAAGGGTTAGATATAGACTATACGCAGTAGTCGAAAACGATGTGTATGATTATTTTATTTTGAAAGATTAAGCTTAAGAGCTTATGGTAGAGTTATGTACTGTAACTGTAGAGTTTGAAAATAACATACAACATAAAAGAAAATGTATTGTCCACCAGAATTTACACTACCAGAGTTTCATAAGAACTTTTTCCATGAATAATTCATCCAGCAGTTGTCAGTGCAGAGCCAACACATCTGTCTAACGCTGGTGGTGAGGGCTGCAGCCTTATATACCCTAAGGGCAGGGCCCATGCCACGCTTCCAAGCCCTAAATTCACAGTTAGGAAATCAGACAGCAGTGGACACTGAGAGCCTTTGAAAACCACAGTCTTATTATAACCCTTGGAGGTTCCCTTGTGCCCTTATAGAAATACAATTTCCACATTTAACAATCTTCCTGGGCGGATTCCTCCACATCTTTCTGTGGGATAGAACATGATGAGCTGCGTTAGAAAACAGAATGACTAAACTCCTCCTCGTCCACTTGGGAAATTAAATACTTTGCCGTCTGTGCTTACTTGGTATTGCTGTGGGTGATTGTGTTGAGCCCTGGATCTTTGAGATAATGTATACTTACTGTATGTTATTGTAGTAAAATAAATGAAAGCTAAGTGTTGTATTCTGCCAATGCGTCAGACTGTCTTTGTTCTTCTTGGTTCTTCTTGGTCATATCCCATCTTCACGAGATGGGATATGACCTCCTTCTTCTTTTTTTCCAGGTTCCTAAAGGTGTTTGATCAAGCTGTTGAACAAGAAGAGGTATTTGAAAACATTGCCAAACCAGTGGCAGACAGGTAACGTCTTTCTGACATAAAACTTCTTGTAATGAAAAATGCAAATAAATGTTTAGTGCTGTAGCGATGAACCCAAAGTCTAGGAAATGAGTGAGCATTTTGTCTCGATGTCAATGGGTTTTTTGAAAAGGGTTCTTGGTTAGTTGCCTGAACTAAGGTCTGTGGTTAGTGCAAGCTTTGGAGTTTTAATTATTTTGTTCTTGGACATGAAGGATGTCTATAAATGACCAACATGTCTTGCAAAATGGGATTGCTAACGAGTAACTAAATGTCCTGCTAACTTCCAGATTGGCTGACAAAAATACATCATATTTACATACACTACTATATAATGCAGTTCATTTTGAAAGTATATAAAAACGTTTTGTTAACCTTACAACTACATCCTTTGATTATTCTATTCACAATTCACTGCCCACCTGTTTCTTGCAATGCTCCTCATCACGTTTTGGTCAGGCCACACAGGGTATATCCATCCTTGTTGACAGGAAGTTAGTAAAGCTCAGCTTTCTTTAAGATGAAAATGGAGGGTGTCAGTGATTTTTGGCCTGCTTTACAAACTTTAACCACTAAGTGGACTGAGCTGGCAGGCAAAATGGCCCACTGTGCCATCGAGAGTGTGAGAACATTTTCCAACCACAACACAGGAGCAACACTGTAGCCACTCACTCATTTTGAGCTTTTGTTCCATGTCATGCATGAGGACACACCATTCATTAAAGCAATGGTTCTCAAAGTGGGGGGCGCGCCCCCCCAGCTCGGCTCTGTGTGTGTGCGTGTGTGTGGAACGAGCCATTTTTTGTGCGTGCGCGCGCGAGAGAGAGAGAGCACCGGTACCGGAGATCGTTGTTGTTAGCTTCTGGTGCTAGCGAGCTACGCTAACGGATATAAGGAGTTTTTTCAACAACAAAGTGGAGGAGAGTCCTCTCCTGTCAGACTGAGAGACTCAGTGAACTAAAGGACTCTCTCAGTGTTATCTCAGTGGGTCTCAAACGTTTTGGTCACCATTAATGTAAACAATTATTTCCGAGGCACACGTTTATATGATCATTATAGTTATAAAAAAATAAGAGAATAAATTAAAAACAAGTATGAAATACTATATGACATTAAAAAAAGAAAAAAGTTTAAAAGAGGAGTGATTTGTAAAATATCCATAAAGAAATAGCAAATCTGTTCACAGTTCCGTTTCATATGGGTGTTGAGAGAGGTATCCATAGATCTCTTCATGTTGCTCTCAAAGTGCAACAGATTGATGCTTTTAACTTTAATATTTAAAAATCTTCCCGGGGGAGCTTGCCCCCGGACCCCCCTATGTGAGGTCCACACACCACCTATAAAAATAGCACTTTACCCCTGCTTAAACCTATATGCCGTGAGCTGATTATCGAGCCTTCATTGTAACAGTCGCAGGTACATTGTGTATTTGCATGGGGATTGTTGCAGTAGAACATTCCACTGTAGTGCCCGGTACATTAATGGGAAACCCTAAATGTTTGAGCACCCTCTATGAAACGTCAAGCTACCCCACAGCACCCCCAAAAGAAATCTCTGGCGCCGCCACTGAGCCTGACTATTTGTGTTGGGGGGGCCCGACTTTTTGTTTCTCCAAAGGGGGGGCCTGACAGAAAAAGTTTGAGAACCACTGCATTAAAGTAACCTGCTGAATAATCTGGCCCGCATGACCAACAGTTCAAGTCCACACATTCAAACAATCCAACATGATTTGCATTTACATTTCATTATTCCTACTTCCAACTAGATTAATTGTGACATAAAGCTTCCTTTGCCTCTAACGGCCCGTCCACACGGCAGTGTGCGTTGCTTCAACGGAGACGCTTCCCATTCACTTTGAATGGGGTGACGTCAGGCTTTACCGAACTGCATTGTGGTTCCGTCGCTTTGCCTCCGTTGCTCGCTTCAAAAGTTGAGAAAAGTTCAACTTTTCAAGCTTCGACGGAAGCGCCAGCCAATCAAAACATATGCCAGTACTAGCTCTAGCCAATCAAACCGTGTGCTTGTGTGTCCGGGGCGGGAGATTAATGTGATTGGTTGTTGGTCGCGCGCCAGACACGCCCACCGGCAAGCTTCAACGCACGCTGCCATGTGGACAGTAAGATATCTCAACAGTGAGGTCCATTTCAATTCAAGTTTTTTAATTTTTTATTACATAACACACATTTACCCAGCAGCCCGTTAACACAACAGGTTACAACATTTTTTTCCCCTCCCCATGGCTCAATTTAGCCTGACCACCTCCATTCCTCCCCAGGCTTCTTATGGCGCTTTTCCACTGCAGGACCTAGCATGGCTTAGTACGGTATGGTTAGGCCTTGGTAGGCCAGGCTCACTTTATGCTGCGTTTCCATTACAGTTTAGGAACTGGGGTAGTAACTATAGTAACGCAGTGTAGGCGGGGCGATCGGCTGTTCGGCGGGCGGAGCGACGCTGCGTAAAACTGCCGTGACGTCATCTTCAATGCGAACCACAAAACCAACATCAGCCGTTAGCTGTTAGCACTCAGAGCTCACAGCTCCTCATATCTGTTCAGAAACTAGACAAAAGTTAAACAAGTACAAACCACAGACTGTCTGTGTCATGGCGAATACAGTCGCTGGTTTATTTATGTCTGTATAGGCCGTTGTGAGTGTGGACGGAGCATATACAACGTTAGCTTAGCCTGATCGATCTGATCTCCATTCAGAAAACACACATTTTAAAGGTTTTTTCGCCTGCCGTCTTGTCTGCACACTTGTCAAAGCATTAATTCATGGTTTTTACTAACCGGTATCAGTATGTTGTTACTTCGGCATCATTTTGAAACGTGTATTACAATTAAATCACGGTAAAATATGTTCATTTTGTTGTAGTTGTAGCTCCCTTGCCAGCAATTCTCTTTGACCATTCAGCAATCCAGTGTTTACGTCACTAGTTTAGCATATTCAGCCCGGTTGTTGGCCCGGTAAGAACCTTGATTTTGGAGGGCCAGAAAAAGGTGAAAAAGTAGCCCTGTGGAAAAGCAAACAAAAGCTTAAACCCGGCCAGCTTAAACCGTGCTACGTGCTGCAGTGGAACAACGCCATTAGTCACAATATGGGCTATTTGTGGAATTCCACAAGTGCTTTGCATTATCTTTGCTAATATGAGACATATAAACAGCATGGTGAGACATCTGGATCGGCTGACTAAGGGCTCGGATGTATTTGACCTGACTCACACAGGGTTCACAGACTCGTGTTTTCAGTTGTCCTGCCCAGCTAAGCTTTTCACAGTCTCTGTTGTGGCAGATGGTAAACATCAGGTTTAAAGTTTCAGTCACAACCAGGCTATGTCCTTTGTCAAATCAATTTAAGCTTGGCGTATTTTAGCCTTTGATATGACTCTGCAGTCTTAAAGACACTAGTCATCCATTCTAGCCAGAACCCATTTGTCTCCACAATCAGACATTTCTAAGTCCACTGTCAATGCCTTGCTCCCTCTGCAGGACGCTCGTTTACACAATGAATGCTCTAAATTCCACAACGTGTGAACCATTTAAATCTGTTCTCCGCACAGTGAGTAAAAGTAAGGGGAATAACTCTGCCTGCCATTTCATATGTGTTTCCCTCAAACACAATCACAGCAATAGGCTTAGGCCTCATATCCAAAAAGTAATAAAAGAGACACGGGAAGTCACTTTAGCGTGGACTGACGTGTAATAAGCTATGTGAAGTCCAGCTGGTGGGCTGATAACTCTGAAGCGAAGCTTATGTTGATATTGACGTGGTCCCAGTTACAGAAGCACGTCTGGTCACAGAAATCACAAACGGAGTCTAATTTGGAGTGACAGATAGTTTTTCCTAAAGCCCCGGCAGTCAGGAAACATTTATTCAGGTTTAGCGTGGAATTGCTTTGAATCGAAGCCGTTTCGCTGTCACCGCACTAATATTCAGTTTCATGCACGCAGGCGCCTATCCTCTCAACTAGCAATAACTGTCAGGTTGTTGTTTTGGTTGGTACTCTGTCATACTTGGCGCACACCAAGTTTAGCCAATAGCTCTAAGTCGTTTACTTGCGTTCTAGTCTCTGTCTCTGCTGTGGTGTAACCGAAACCAGCAATTTCAACCCCAACACAGTAGTTTCAAAACAAACCAGCATTAATAGCTCCAGTAGAGGAAGGGCCAACATAACGATGTTGGGCTGGCAAGGCAAAGCCTCTATCTGGATTGTAATCCCATTTCACAAGGCTGTGAAACCAGTAGCTGATGTGCAAAGAAGGATTAGGGTCTGTGCATTTTTATCCTTAAACCTAATACTTGAAAGAAAGTAAACGATTGGACTTACTGCTTTTCAAGAACCGTAATAACTACTCGACGACAAGTTGCCAATCTCCAGGAGAGCTGAGGTGTAAACAAGAACAAGCATTGGGAAACGCCCAAGCCTCAGTGGCAGTGCCTAGGCCGCATCATTAGCTCTGACATTAAACTAAACATAGAGCCTGTGTCTTTCCTCCCCACTGCCAATCACTGCCATGACTCACGGCAGACTAAATGGACGCCCATTGACCGGCCAACCAACCACCATGAGTGGACGTAGTGTTTTATATATACTGACATGCAGTTTTTTCGCTTACTCTTCACATGCAGGGTGTGGAATTGTACAGTACACAGGAAACCCACAGTGCTCTAATTCTGGGTCAGTAATTCAATTAGGATAAGTGAGAGGCTTATGTTTTATAATTTACCCTAACAAATATAGTATCAAGATATCCTTGTTTGTTAATTGTCAAGTCAGTTTATCCTCACCTATGGTCATTTGACTATTTGTCCTGCTTTATTACCAAGACTAGAGAACAGTTTTTTTCGCCAATTTATATTACCTCATAGAAGCACCACCATGTTGGATGTTTTTTCATTCAAATGGAACAAAAGATACCATTGGTTTCCATGACCCTGTGCACATGCAGAATAACGATTCAGTGCCAAACCAAAATGTACCAGGCCCTGCCTAGTTGAGTGGGTTCAGGCCTTTTCCTTCACTCATACTCCGAGACATTCCTCCGTCACCGGCAGACGTCTGTCGCCATAGCCGTCGCTCTCCAGTCACTGCCATCCTTCCCTGTGGATTTAAAGTGTCAGTTTCAATTCACCCAGAATTTCGGTTTCTGCTTCAGGGTACCCTCGACAGTCCCCTTCTTTCCACTGTTGGCCATTAATTACCTTTAGGCCCACTTTGTTGTTTGGTTGCATATATTTAGCCCTCTAGAGCAAAACAGTGACCATACACTATTTAATCAAGTCATGGAATATTCTCCAATCTTCCATGACTTCACACATGACTGCAACTTAGCCAGTTGAATCCTAGCCATGGATCTTTTTTGCTTGTCCCTTTTCCATATTGCCTATTCTCTTTTACCTATCCAACGTAGGTCAAAATGCCTCATAAAAAGAAAGCAATTGTGTATGTATTCTGCTAATGATTTTTATATAAAAATGAGAAATAGATAATATACAGTACAGTGTACATTCTTGTTGGCATTTTAATTACAATAGACTTTATAAGTGTTCATTATCTTGTATGCTATATTTACATGCCATTCTGGAGAGCAGGTACAGAACATCACAAAACAACCGCAGCCAGGCTTTTCTACGGATAATGATACAGTAATTACGGTACTTACTGTAGTTCATATTGCTCAAGGTTAACCACTGACCTCTTTCGAGTGCAATTATTTTTGCAAGGTTTTTAAATGATTGACCTTTCTGTTTTTGTATTGTGTGTTTGTGTGTGCACAGTGTGTTGGCTGGCTACAATGGCACCATATTTGCCTATGGCCAGACGGGCAGTGGGAAGACGTTTACCATCACAGGAGGGGCCGAGCACTACAGTGATCGTGGAATTATCCCCCGCACACTTTCATACCTGTACGAACGCTTCAGCCAGGTCAGAACAGAGGGAAGCTTTCTCTATCATTTCATTTTAGGCCACACACATATACATTCAAGAAACATGAACCCTATTGTCTCTCTCTGTCATCGTTAATTACACTGTTCTACAGCATCTACATTTAAACATTTGCTTTAGCAAGAAAGCAACAACAACACTAAGGCTGGGTTGCACCAACAGAGAACTCTTTTATGTTTTTAAATGAGCAAATCCAGATCAGTTTTTATTTCTCTGTTTAGTAAATCCAAGTGTATTGATAGGAAACAAACTTGATTATTTTTGCTTGGTCCATCCCAAAAAAGACTGCCATTTTAAAGTGTAAGTTTAAAGTTAATACTGAGTCACATTTTTAAATTCAAAGGATTTTTTCTGCACCATAATTCATTTTAATCAGGTAAAAACTAAACTGAAGTTTAAAGAGGTTGATTTAAAAATGAATCCTTGTTGAATTCAATCTTTATCCAGTTAAATACATACTTACATACTTCTTTGATGCTCCACAGGACAGCAGTATGGTTTATACCACACACATCTCCTACTTGGAGATCTACAACGAGATGGGATATGACCTCCTGGATTCCCGCCATGAAGCGTCTCGACTGGAGGACCTACCGTCAGTGTTCCTTTTATTACTGTAACTTTGACCATGCTGATGTTATAGTCATCCCATTCCATTTGAACATGTGAACAATTAGCATCAGATAGTGTGTATTGAGACTTGGGGATATGCACTCATAAGTAATATATGCGGGGGGTTTTTATGCTGAAAAGCCTAATCAGGCCTGGTTCCATAATCCGCCTTATTCCTGAACAGCCATTTGTCATCCTGGCTCGGAGTCACACTTGCGGCTTTCACACCAGCGCTTTTCCCTTTCTAGCTCCGAGCGGGAGCTTTTCTGGTTCAGCTCCGGTTTCCCTTTTCTGCTCCCGCTCTGTTCACACCGCCCAGAGCTGCCGCTGCTGCGTCATGACGTCACAGTTTACGTGCCTGCTTCATAAAATCCAAACCGCGCGGAAATCCCTCACATCGACAACAACAACAATGGCCGATTGTATTGAAGTTCTGTTCGCTTTGGTTATCCTCTTACGAAACGAAATGGAAGGCATCGGACGACTTTACAAGGGACGACTTTACTTGTAACTTTACAAACATCACATGCGAAATGCAAGACTTCTTTGTGGTCTTCAGCATCTACTTCAACGAGATGCCCCTGCCCCCGCCTCGACGTAAGAGAGACGTAAGCGACGCCACCTCTTAGCTCCGAAGCTCTTGCCTCTAGACCGACAATTTTTTGGAGCTGGAAGTGAACCGGATTCCGGAGCTAAGAGGCGGCGCCTCTGCGGTGTGAACAGGAAAAAACGGTACTTTTCAGGCTCCAGCTCCGAGCCGGAGCTGAAAACGCGTTGGTGTGAAAAGGGCCACTGTGGTGAAATATGGAGACTCTAGTATTTACCACCTCACTATGAACTGCCAACTGACATAATAAGACTTTGGGACAGCAATGGATGTGGTCAGACTCTGCCACTAGAGTGGAGAGCATGAGGGTCATGTGAAGAAATTGCTTTTCATAGCTACTGGCTGCTGCAGCTGCACTGAGGGAAATTCTTTTTTTTGGGTCCAGCTACCTCTTTCTCTCACTCTCTGTTTGTGGCCATTTGTTGCTTCTCTTTTTACTAGGACCTGTCCTTCAAACTCTCCTTCTTCCACACGGTTTCATCCAGCTTCATTTTTACCATGTGTCCATCTTTCTTTGTAATTAACAATTCCATTTGTCTGAAGGTTTGTCTGTCTTTGTTCCTTTTTTTGTTGCCTATTTTGTTCAATACTTATTCATCTCTAGACGTCCGGGCGCATTATGGTCTCGGTACATCATTTTGGTGTTTGTCTTTTATTTTCTCGTACCAGTTCCATTTAGGTTTCTCAGAGGATCCAGCTCAAGGTTTAGATCCCCACAAATCACAGTCTTCTGGAAATAGACAGTGCCCGTTGTTAACCATGCTGTGGCCACACTTGCTGATTCAAGAAGAAGCAGTTCTCTCTCGGACTGGTGCTCTGCTTCTTTCTTTCACTGCCTACGCCTTCTCTTTCTGACATTCTTGCACTCATTTTCCTTCTTCTTTGCTCCATCCGTGCATTATTACCTCTGCCAAGGAAGGTATGTTTTAGGTTTTAGGTTGTGTTTGTTTTTGTTTGTCAGCAGGATTATGTGAAAACTACTTGGTGGAAGTGTCAAAGAAAAGCCCAAAAATATTTTGGAGAAGATCAGAATTATAGACACACACATTATTTTTTTCCGTTTCGTTAAAATTGCAGGATCTATTTGCGCTCTTGAAAGAACCCTGCTTGTTTCTATCATGGGTTCAGCGGTCCTCCCTCTAAATGCTTAAAAGTCTGTATATATCAACCGCATCATCTCTTATATTTCTGTAAAATAAATAATCAATCTTTTTTTGAGTTGGTGGGGCTGTTTAGAAAAATAACCATACCATAGCACAGGTCTTTAATCACATTAAGATTCATTGTGTTTTATCAAACAACCCCTATTACCTTCACATGTTAACATAATTATCCACATGTGTTCTCCAGTGGTTCCACCCTCTGACATCTCAATCCAGTAGCCATTCTGTCACAACCGTAGAGGTGTGATGGATTTGATATGGTTATATAACCGGAGTCATTCCGACCCATCTGGCCAAGCACACTGCATGTTGAGGGAAATCAAGCCCTGTCTGTTATCGAATTATAAACCCCCAGACAGATGAAGCACATGTCAATCTGGGTAGCAGCCCACACTGACTTGCAGATGTGGTTTGTTTGGATTAAGCGCTGAGCAAAGCCAAGGCGATTGGAGGGAAATGGATGACATAACGGACATGATTACCTTTCATAAATGCTTCAGGGTTGGATTATTTTGGTTTTGACTGTATTTGTCCCACTTTTGTAATTTCAAGATATTTTTTTATGCTGGAATTAACTTCATTTTTTAATTTTTTTCCAGAAAGGTGCTGATTATGGAAGATCCAGACCAGAACATCCATCTGAGGAACCTGTCACTGCAACAGTCAGCCAATGAGGAGGAGGCTCTGAATCTGCTCTTCCTTGGAGACACCAATCGTATGATTGCAGAAGTAAGAAATAAGGGAAACACTTCCTTTCATAGATGAGAGCAGCGCCACGTCACTGCCTGGCTAAATGACAGCCCTGTCCACTTTCCGGTTAAAACAAAGAATTGGCGCTAAGGGGTAAACATTAAGTTATCATGCCTAAAAGCGGGCGTGTCACTTATTGTACTTCAAACAACAGAAAGGTCCAAAGTTAAGATTTTCTATACTTTAACTTAGGAAAAAGGACGATCAAATATATGTAGCTTCTGGCCAAGAGTACAGAGATTGTAAGCAATGGAACCCGGTCAGTCAATACGTGTACGTCCATTTTTTTCACCCAAAAAGGGGCGGGGCCATGGCGTTAAGGGAAAGTACTAGTGACGTCAACACTCTCGACTGCTGATTGGTCAGAGAGAGAATCGTCACAAGATCGCGTGCGAGTTCATCCCTAGCGTCGCATATATATATATCTAGAAGCAAGCTTGCAGCATTTTTATACACAGCATTTTTGTAAACGGAGGAGCTACAAAAATGGCAACGTCAAAGAAAAGCACACGGTGGTCGACCGAGGAGGTGACGACGTTCCTACATCTCATTGGGGATGATCAAATCCAGTGGGAGCTCGACGGAACAACTCGAAATGTGAAATAAAAAGCCGTTCGCCCCGCCTACACTGCGTTGCTACCCCAGGTCCTAAACTGTAATGGAAATGCGTCACGGCCTCGGACGGCCAGCGAGGCAGCCCGAGGCCTGAGCGAGGACGCTTAGGGACGCTTAAACGGGGCTACCCCGCTGCAGTGGAAATGTGCCATTAGAGAGGATTGTATTCGGCATGCAGAGATACATTACCACTCCCAGGACAAGTGGCGTGAATGGTCCACACTGCGATATGCACTCTAAAGGCCACCTTAGGACCCTTCTAAAATATGACTTTGGCCCCCTGTGGTCCCTTTTACCATGTTTTCCCAAGTATAACAAAGCATTCTCTCTGTAATTTCTGTTTATGTTACAGTGGTTCCTTTCTACACTTGAAACACTCAGACTCCCCACGCTGATGTGACATGTGGCGGGTCAGCTTTTTGCCCTCGACCTGAGGTTTGGAGCAAAGGGCTGATATCACCTTGTTTACCCTTGTTGCTAGTTTGTAAGTAAATAACAGACAGTAAAAGTGAACTGAATAATCAGGTTTTCAATCAGACACTTGCTTTTAAGTAGTATTCCAAAGTCAGTTTTTGATGTGGCTGAGACTCGAAACATAACCAATCCAAAAGGAAATAGTTATAGGATCCAGGATAGAAGTTCCCGGGAATCGGTTTTATTGCTACTACACATTATGATGCACATATTCCACATAACATAGCCCATTGCCTAAACAATAACTCCTTTATTTTTCATCTACCTTGAAGACAAACCAATTGTCCACTGCTGTAAAACCTGGGGGTATACTCCAATACAAACATATTCTTGGATGCTACATTAATCTGTTGATCAGGGAAACAAGGCATTTCACAGTTCAGCGAGGAGCCCACAGTACAGTCCACCCACACACTTTAGTGAACTAATCCCCTCTGGGACTTCTTTACAAAGGTTTCTCTTGAGCCCCGAGCAAACAAAGAACCGTCAATAAAGTAAATCTGTCGCTGCCAGAATCATCCCAGAAGTCCCTGCTCCACATGGACTTCAAATAAAGTTAACACTAGTGCTTTCTTTCTTTTCTCGCTCACGGCCATGTGGATAAAAGATGACACATCCATTCAAGCTGCACATGGCAGATCATGAGCTCACTCGCTTTGAGACTTGGCAATCCCCTGTGCACTTTTATTGGACAGGAAATAAAATGCACCTTCTCAACTCTTCACCCCTTCCTTTAACCTCAACAGGAAACATTTCCTCTCATCTGGTATTTTTTTTATTCCTGTTCCACTTCCCTTCACATGTGGGGATGCAGAGCCTGGATCTTTCCGTCTTCCTACATCCTTACTACCTTCTGAGCTTGTAGGGGTGAGGAGGGTGCAGAGCAGGTTTGTTTTCCAAATTAAACTTCACCTCTCAAATCTGCAATCTCTAGGCATTAAAGTGCTTTTAGCATTATATTGTGTGTGTGTGTGTGTGTGTGTGGTGTGTGTGTGGTGTGTGTGTGTGTGTGTGTGTGTGTGTTGTGTGTGTGTGTGTGTGTGTGTGTGTGTGTGTGTGTGTGTGTGTGTGGTGTGTGTGTGTGTGTGTGTGGTGTGTGTGTGTGTGTGTGTGTGTGTGTGTGTGTGTGTGTGTGTGTGTGTGTGTGTGTGTGTGTGTGTGTGTGTGTGTGTGTGTGTGTGTGTGTGTGTGTGTGTGTGTGTGTGTGTGTGTGTGTGTGTGTGTGTGTGTGTGTGTGTGTGTGTGTGTGTTATACTTGTGGGGACCTAAATCTGTTAAGATAGTCACGTGTGGGGACTGGCTTCCCTTATGGGGACAAATTGGAGGTCCCCATGAGGGGAATCATTAATTTTAGGGTGAAGACTTGGTAAGGGTTAGGCATGTGTTGGTTAAGGTTAGGATAAGTCTCCAGGACATGCATGTAAGTCAATGTAATGTCCCCTGAAGTGATGTATACATGGTGTGTGTGATCAACATGTGGTCAATTGAGAACACAGGAGAATAAAGGAAGTGATTCCAATGAGATTGCATTGTCCTGCTGTTTTTTGACAGCTAAGACATACTTTAATGTCCCTGTGTGGACACAATTTCCCATGTGAACTGAACACACAGTCTGTAAAGATTTAATATGCAAACTATGCTTGATGCGCTCCTGGCCAAATGTTTTATTTTATACTGAGAGTTTTCTCCTAAAAAAAACTTTGATATCATGTTTGTGCAACTGTCTCCAGCTGGTGCTCAGTCTTTGTTAAAGCCATAGTATGGGCACAATAACCCTCAAAGATAAGAGCCAACTGTCTCCTCTTATCTGTGGACAGCTGCCTGTGTATTTGAATACTTTTAACTGTTAACGATGTCTGCTGCTATCAGTTTCCACTGTAGTACTTGCATTAGAAGTCACTTACTGTATACAGTATTTCACACTCATTGCAAATAAATGAATGCAGCCTTATACAAAACCCCTGCATGAAACCTATAATGTTCAGTTTGTTGGTGATAATTTGCATCAATGCTTTATACAGAGAGGTGTTTCTGTTATTCAGTCTATCCATGTTAATATAAATGGGATAGTCAAAGTACAAGAAACGCCTGTCTGTTCAACGATACCACCAACGATATGTGTGTCAATATATCGGTTTAATAACATGTACCTATTCTCTGTGAGATTACCCAAATACTGAATGCTGCATTTCTGAAGATCTGTTGTGAAGCTCAATCTGCTGACTCAGCCTAACCCCCCCCAGCTAATCCAAAGTGGGCAAAGAGGAACAATCATCGAGGAGTTAATACTGCTCAGGCTAGAGTCTAGCGACCTGTGTCTGTATCCAACTGTCACTCAAAGCAGCCCTGCCCTTAAGTTTGCCTAACTGTAAGCCTGAATGTAATTTAAAACGCTAGTTAACATGAAAGTTCACACCCTAGCCAGTGGCGGATTTAGGATTGTAGGAGATCTGGGGCTTAGCCCAGGAGTTGTTAGCATTTAGAGAGCTGCCCCTTTTTTATTTTTATTTTTTTCCTCTTTTATCGTTTTAACAAGTGGGATTGTTATCTCTACTTTTTAAATGACGGGTATTCACCTTCATTCCCTTTAAGAGAATATTCATTTGGAATAATGCTATATTTCCAGGGACTGTGATGCTCCTTTTCTTTTCGCATGGGTTATTAATTGAGTAGAGGTGTTTCTGTGCTTCTGGTAACGGACGGACCAGTGGGGCGTGGACTACATCCTGCTTCGCCCCTAACCCAATAGCGATAGCCTTAGAGGGCGAAGCCTTATACGAAATAGAACTGGGGTTACGTATTGTAACCCAGCTTCTATGAGGAGGGGGGGGGTGCAGGGGTAAAGTGCTATTTTTTACAAGTGGGGGGTGGACCGAACATCTTTTTAGGGGGATTTTTTTTAAATATTGAAGTTAAAGCATCAATCTGGTGCACTTTGAGAGCAACATTAACCCTACCTTAATAATACCTTAAAGCGGACAAAAGGCACTAGAGAACACTTATTCATTAACACCCTTTAATGAAGAAAACTAATGCCTTAACTCACTCAAATACAGTCGTTTACTTATTTCGGTGAAACGAATGTGCGTAGAGTTTTAAAGGATGTGGATAGTCTCACCTTGATTCTGGCGCATTGCTTATCGTTTTATAGATCGATTCTCATTCACCATCTTTGTGACGTAAAGAGTGTAAGAGTCACATTTCTGAATCGGACACTCTGAGTGGATGCAGTCACAGCCAATCGGAGTCTGATTCAGAGGGTTGCCTGTCATTTCCGTTGCCTGTCAGTTCCGTTGCTATGGTTCCGTTGTTATGTGTTCTACTGTGTACTGTACTTTTTTTTTTTTTTTTAAGTGAAACATCCGGGGCTTTTCAGAAAACATCCGGGGCTTGAGCCAAAGTAGCCACCCCCTAGCGCCGCCACTGACCCTAGCTCTGTAGACTCCAAGACAGAAGGATCAGCAGAATCTGTTGATGTTTTAGGTCAGTCCCTAGTGGCCTTAGAGGTGATCTCCTTAGGCGCGTTCACACCGGAGTACTTTTCCCCCGTACTTTTCCCCCGTACTTTTTCCGTTTAGTTCCGTTAGTACCCCTTATGTCGCGTTCACACCAAAAAGAGTACTTAGTGCTGGGAACTTTTACCCCCATTTTTAGTGCCTGCTAGAGAGGTGGTACCAAAAAATTACCAAAAAAGTATACATTTCTATTGGCTGGGCGAATTGCAAACCACACCCCGTAAAACTCTGAAAAGTTTTTTGAAGCCGCCATTGTATTTGCTGGCATTAGCATTATTGGCATTAGCATTAGCCCTGCGCACCAACGGAGAGAAAATAACTTATCGCAACACAAAAAAAAACATGGGAGCGGTGGAGTGAGGAGGTGTCGGCATT